GAATTATGTGCAGCAATGTTACGAAACAAATTATTTAACAATGTTATTAAAGCATTAAATGTTACATTCCAAATAATTACATTCTGGTCAGATTCGACGATAGTACTGTAGTATCGTGGACAGATTGCCTAGGAAATAGCGAGAGGGACCCACCTGCATCACGAAGTACACCACACACAACCTTCCGCTACATAGCGATCTGCGTCAAAAAACAGCTGGGACAACTCCAAGCGCGGGCCACCTTCGGGAAAGAAACACCTTCATCGCGAAGTGCACAGCCAATATCTCGCTGCATAACGAAGAGCAGCAGACGAAGCATCGATTCGAACGAATTGAGACGAATATCATAGAGACGTAAGTCATACACTTGTTGATTCGCTTTTCCCCTTATACACGGCGTAAAATTATCGTATCGAAACTCACGCGCATATACCATGCCATCTCATCAAAAAGAACGCTTAAAACAATTACAGAAGAAACGGGAAAGATTCACGAAATAATTAGCAAATTTTCAATAGTTACTTGATAACTATCAGGAAGGAGGGTCAGTAACCGTTATTCAATACCGTTTAAACGATTTAGAGGCAGAATATGCTACGCATAGTGAAAATCAGGGCAAATTGGACGACATAGACGAGGATCAGGCACGAGATGAACGCGTTGCCATAAGATATAAATTCTTGGACAGTAAAGCACGCGCTACGGATATAATTGAGAGCGCTAAAAGGCGGTTCAGAGAGCCGACTGATAGGAATATGCTAAACGCACCGGACACATCATATTCAAATCTAGTCGCAAATGAAGTTGCGCTACGGAAAATTCAATTACCTTCTTTTTCTGAACCCTTCGAAGATTGGCCAGGGTTTACGGATCAATTTCGCTGCACAGTTCACAAGAATTCACGGATTGACGACTATAGGAAATTGATGTATTTCCGCTCTTTTCTAACGCAGGAAGCGGCTAATGCAATAGCATCGACTTTAAATACAGCTTTCAATTATCTTGTCGCATGGGATATTTTGGAAATGCGATACAACCAAGCGGCAAAAATCAGAACCAACGATTTGAAAGTATTGTTCGATGTATCTCCTTTACAGCGGCTATCGCGCCAAGACATAGAAGCCTATGTAAACGAATTACAAACGCATTACAAAGCATTGCAAGCACTCAACCAGCCAACGGCGGATACCGTGCTACTATATTTGATTACATCCAAGCTAGATCACGACACACAGTTACGATGGAAGGAAAGAATAGACCACAAACTCTTTCCAAGCGTTGGAGAACTATTTCACCATTTGCACGATCGCTGCAATGTATTAAGGCAGATAGGCTCCACATATCAAGCACCATCACACCCTACAATCCTTCCGTATAATGTACGTGTCAACAGCCAAGAGCGATATACGCAATCTAACGCCAAATCAGACCCTCGCCGCCCAACCTCCAATCACGTGCAATTTTTGTAACAGATCTCACACAGCACAAAACTGCAAATAATTCTTATCGCTGTCAGTTTCCCGGAGATCTAAACGAACGAGAGAGAGAAACCTCTGTACCAATTGCCTGCGTAACATACATTCCTTGGAAGAATGTACATTTGGTAGCTGCATGTAAAAGGCACCGCACTGTCCTGCATGCTAATATAGATAAATCAAGGCAGCCAAATCGAACTAATTTAGCATGTCTATCACCGAAGATGTTCCGAATGTTCTTTTATCTACAGCTGTCACAAATCTCGGTGATCAGAGCTGGAAAATATAACGGTGGAGAGTCCTGTTAAACTCCTGCTCACAGGCATATTTGTTGACTAACGACACATAGAGGCATCTAGGGTTAACCATACAAAGAGTCGACGTACTTCTATGTGGCACCAACTAGATGACCTGATACATTAATCAAATGACTCGAGCGAAAGTTCACTCGCGAATCAGTGAGAATACGGCAGAGTTAACATTTTTGGTGATGGACAAGGTGTCGCAATCAGTTCCATCAGAAGATATTGATGACGATGAGTTAGATTTATCAAGAAATATTCCATTAGCCGATCCAGAGTTCCATCGGTCAGCTGGCGTTGACGGCCTCATTGGACCTCAACTGTTTTGGAACATCCTTCGCGGAGGAAGGGTCAACTTTGCGGATAAACACATGCAATTACGGAACGCAGAAATAGGTTGAATTGTGACGGGCGAGACAGTCACGAAGAAGCTACCACACATAATAAATGTGGTGTACGATTCAAAGTTCGCCCGGAGATAAGATTTCGGATTACGAAGGTAATTGAAAGACTACCGATCAGTCGCATCAACCTGGTCTCCCAACGACAAATTCGCTAGATATAATGTACCATCGACTTCCTTGCAAATTTCCAGCACGATGGCACGTTCCAGAAACAAACTAAGCTTTAGGTTGGCCAATGCAAAGCGCAACAGCCCTCTGACAACTGAGTCAAAGCAGGGTAGTCCGCTTTACGCGGAACAAGAGGACGATATCACGCCGATTGCGACGACTATATCAAGAAGCAAACCTTGGAACAATCTAACAACGAATAAATATCGACACAGTGACCCAGGATGTCTACAAACGCCAGTGAAAGCTCAATCATCTGCGTCCGATCGACTGGGAGGAATTGAAAAAGCGGAAGAAAAGCCACCTTTGATCTCGTCTTCCGTGGTTACTCTGTTCAAGAGACTCGGCACCAAAGATCCAAAGAATAACCAAGATGCCCAACGATATTTCCTCGGCGGTGGATTACAGCGGAGAATATATGAGCAACGAAGGGGATGGCTGCTATCCGGATTGCTTAAAATACATATAGAAAATCAGCGAATTGAACGATAATTTACAGCGACTACACATCGGATTTACAAAAGTTAGCAACCGACTTAGTCCTTTATCTCTAGGGAGAGCAATAAAATCTAACGAGTATTTGAAACAATTTGCAACCTTGGATTCGATTTTGAAGAAGATCAACATCGAAATTGATAAGTGTAAATATGAACGAGATGGTCTACTCGAGGAAATCAGAAACTCTAGAAATACTAACCGGAAACGACGGAACTCAAGAAAGACGCGCTAATCATATTAAAGAAAGACAGCGCCCATCCACTTCAGTGGCCTGTGGTTCAGATAATAAATCTACACCCAGGAACTGATGGGATCACCCGAGTAGTTACCGTAAGAACAATTAATGGAGGATACAATCGCAGGGTCAATAAAATAGCCCCATTACCTATCGACGACGATAAACAGGAAGATACGGAATAAATATACATCATTACCGGCAACTTTTGAACAGGACCGTTTAACGGGGGGCGGTATGTTCTTCTTTGGAAAAGCCCGAATTACATGTCCTCCCCGAGCTACAAACCTGATAACTCAAAAGTTAGGGGAAAACCCAGGGAAAATCACCGGCCGGAAAGGCACGATGGACGGATGAGACTCAATGGCTGGTGGGGAGTATCAACAAAATACGAGAACAGTCATCAACAGAGCGTCGAACCGTGCGGATAAAATACTGGAGTCTCAACAAGATCTTACAACCGTCGTGTTCAGATCACCGAACATTGATTGTATAAAACAAGTGCAAATAAAGTGCCAAATTACACTAACACTTGATTTATTAAACCTCCTTCACCTTGAGTGTTAATTCATTCAAGATATATCGACCGATCGGTTGAACCTGACCAGTCGCTCTTTAGTTCATAATGCAACACCAATCTCTGTAGAAAATAAGATTAGCAAAGACTTAGTACTTAATTGTAATATTTGTATAAAAATTCTACAATTTAAAAAAGAAAAACAAGTGAGGATGAAAGCAGTAGTATATATATGTCGGGTTATCATTAGAGTTAGGGGTGTATAATGAATCTTCACGTGAATTGGCCATCTTTGTGATATACTGTAGATGATATTTACTGGTACAAATGTGCTTATTACAGAGTGTAACAAGTAATAACTGCGATTGGATGATTGAGATGTCGATGACAATGAATTTAGGTTCCATAACGAATCCACGGTCAACGGGATGACGAATGCGATACACGATTCAGGTGTGATTCAATGTACAAATAGAACTTATCTGAATGAACTGCCCTGCAGTCCAAGTGGAACTGCCCTCATATACTCCTCTCCGTACCTCTCGGCTCAATCTTTGTTTTTAAGGGGAGCTATATAATTACTCCATACCTCTGTTAGGTACACGTCCCTCCCGTGACCGTGGCTACGTTCAGCGACTCGTTATATCACTTCGAGCCCAAGCCCACTGTCATAAATCTCGGACCCCCAACTCGGATTAAATCATAAACAACTATTTCTGAGTTTTATTACTTAAGTATAGCTATAATAAAAAGTCTGAACTAAAGTATTGAGGACCTTTCCAAACATTCCAAAAGAAAGGCCCCTATGTCCTTTCATCTCCGATATATATGTGTCGGAGATGAAAGGACACCGGAGCCTCCCCTCTGAAACTTCGGGAAAGTCCGTAAGATTGTAATTACGGCTTACAGTTGTAACTAAACAATTTGCCGTCATTCTGCCCAATTGTACTTGTTGGCGATTGGTCATAATAAACTTGGGCTCAAGGCGACCATCAGCTGCCGAACGTAGCCGCGGTCAACGGGACGGGCGCTTCATCTAACAAAGGTATGGAGCGATAGTATGACCCTCATTAAAGGAAATACCCATAGAGGTATCTGACAGTAAAACATGCCAATGGTTCCTTCGGACAATGAATACCTGATGTTGAGACACGTACACAGCACAAGTCCAGTTAGCCCGAGGACCCGCTATAAAACGCGGGTTTTTCCAGCAATTAAGATTTTTGCAAACGGACAGGCAGCTTGTGTCCCAAAATCGACCAATCGACAGCGACGTCGATCCGAGGATCTTGTGTACTTAGACACCCCACCAGAGTTTGTCTCAATGGCGTCGTTGGGACGAAGATTCATTCCTTATTGAGACCTCATCGAGGAAGGGAGTAGCGTCTTACGATCAGTACACGTTTGAGTTAGAGCAAGTATATCTATCCTCCCGTTGACCGTGGATTCGTTATCAAACCTAAGACCATTATCACTAGTGTCGCGAGTGCCTAATCGCCGCTGTTGATTGTCGAATCGGTAGTGTTCATACTCGTAGTATCAGGCCGTACCGTCGTTATAACACAGCGATGGCCATTCCAATGGAGCTCTAGCAAATGCTCACAACTCTATTCCTGACGCTTCTCTGACATATATATGTCGGGTCGTCGTTATAATAAGAGTTAGAAAGGGTAATAAATCTTCACTGGAATTATGCATCGTCGTTATACAATCGAAGTAACGTTTAACACATGTGTAGATATTACAGAATTGACAAGTGAAAGTCATTCTCTCGTGAAGTCGTATTAGCGAGTAACTTATCGTCTTTACGCTTGGTGGATGTTCCACGTTTTCACAAAGATTAGTTTAGTAATACTTGTACCGTGGCCAAGTAAGTCGAGTACGGCTTGGGCTTTGGAAGAAAGCGCATTCTGTTATCCCGTTGACCGCGGATTTGTTATTGAATCTAGGATCATTGTCATTAGCTTCTCGAGTATCTAATTACCACGGTTACTTGTCAAATTCTGCAATAACCGTATTTGCACTAGTCAATGTCTTCTCTATTGCATAACAACAATGTGTAATCCAAATGAAGATTCGTTTCACGTCCTTAACCCTAATCATAACGTGAACCCGACATATATGTTAGATTTTCAGACATTCATTATACATTCGCACGCGTGTAAAATACGTATCTGATCAACACATGTATTACATGCGAGCATACAGATTTTACTTTTTTTTGGACGGGACAGTTTGAGAGTGGCAGCACGTGTAGGATATAAGACTATCTCAAGTTTACGATATCGGTAGCACATCTGCTATTTTTTGAGAAGGAAATTCTCACATTGCACATTATAAAGTTTACACATTGGAGTTCACATTAATGTTCACACATTACAAAGTTTGCACATTAAAGTAAACTTGGACCACTTTAATAACTTAATGAGCATTTTTAAGCGTTCGATGATCCTGTTCAATAGCAAGCGACGCATCATAAACTTCGATATCAGACGAGAATTCGACAATAGACCACCGGTCGATGTCGCTAACGGGACTTTACGCCACGCAACTAACCCTGGCCAGGTACACGCAATACGCACCGCTTGCAAGACGCTGACGACAGTTTGAAAGTCACAGAATTGGACAGACATAGACTCCCACGTCGCAGAAATCGTTGACGAAAACATACTCCCTAGATTGACTACCTAGCAAATAAGCGCCAGACATACTTCATGATAAATCATGCTAATGACATCATATAAGACACTTCAAAAGACACCTCAAACCACACTTTAATCACTTACAAATCACAGTCATGAAACTCTTCAAAACAAATATTCGAAATCACAATCACACTAGAACTCTTTAATCAACCCTCCACTTTGAGCGTCAATATCGTTCAAAATTCGCGACTCGAACCGAATAGTTACAATTGAACTGATCGCCCACTGTAAAAAAAATGTCTGCAAGATTAAAATCAGGTGCCCGAGGGGGGGATAAACTGGCCCACCACATCCAATCCATTATTCTCGGAAATTATAATTTAAATATCGCCGAACGTTAAATGAGTTAAGCACCATCATGCATGATGAACCACCGATCCAGTCTATCAAGAAGGGGCATATCATGTAAAATCTGTTATAGCATGTTAGTCAGGAAATCATATTATGCTACATACGATATTTACCGGTTTGGTAAAATAGAAGGTCTAAGTAACTAGTCGCTTATTATGTCATATCGCGTATGTCAATACCTCATCTATGTTTAATGAAAAGCAACGTTGACGATTTCCCTAGAAGGAATCTTTTGCACGATACTGCAACTGTCGAGTTGGTGTTCTGCGAAGGACCACATTTCGTGAACTTTGGAGCTTCCTGTATCGTGTTCAGTATCTCTGGTGTGAACTACTTTTATTTGTTTCTCAGAAGATTGCCTCCCACGTCGTCCAAGAGAAATAACACGAAATTGGAGACATCAGGAAAGAAATAAGAGGTATGTGATAGTTTCTGCAATCCTAGCATCTGTCCAGTGCAGAAGATGTAGTGGGAGTGAGAGAGAGGCCCAAGTGCATGCATATACTTTCTTCCTGCGCTTCCTCAAAGTTAGAGTTTGCGGCACACGTGAGCCTAACATAGACTTCCTTTACAATCTAATTGTGTTGGATCTTCATTCCGATATCTTTTCCCGTCAATTTCCATCTATTTTCCGTGTCACTATTCGTTCTTCCCGCTTTTTTCACCGTATCCCTTACCTCCTCCACCTTTGCCATTCAGCACTCTTCACCTTCCTCTTCACTCAACATTCCTTAACTACTTCATACCAGCCTCACTTTTTCTTTCTCTGCACCTTTCGTATACGTGTGCCCACGTTTCTTCTTGTCCTCTTGCACACTCTATATTTCCTCCCCTCTTCCTCCCAATACCTCTTTCTCTCTCAACCCTCCTCTCTGATCGTTCTCTAACCTAAATATTGCAACGCTCTTCCATCTGCTTTTACATCAAACCTTCTCCTGTTATCCATTTGTACCAATTATTATATTTTGATTGCCTTATTCTTTCTCTTCTTTCTGTTATTCCTCCGTGTTGAAGTGGTTACCACTTCTAAGAAAACTCTACATCTGGTCTTTTTTAGTTTTCTCAAGCACTGAAGCCATCGACAGCGTGTAGACAAAAGACTGCGACGAAGTCAGGCCATAAACAGTAGACAGGCGACGTTGGCTTCGGGGTTTTTCAGTTATTAGGTAACACAGCTAGCGTGCGGATCTGGACCAGCTCAAATTGTATTTTTTACTTATTACACTTCTATTTAAATATATTTTCTACCTTACAATTTATCCACGTGTTTTCTCTGTTTACACACCGAATAACCTCAATACTCCGTAACCTCCCCCTCCCCCCATTCTCTATTTTCCTCTTCAGCTCTTCTTCTTTCTTCTTCTTCCTTCTCTTCTCGCCTCCTTTCAGCATCTCCTTGCCAGTTCACTCCTCCCATCCTTCCCTCAACCGTTCTTCAAAATCCATTACCTTTCTTTCCGCCTTTTCCTTAACTTCGCTCTTAGAGTTCCACTCTAATTGTGGTTAGATGTCAAGACTTAGATGTCCTCCATTTCACTCCTACGGTTTATACCTGATACCTCTCTGTAACTCTTTTATTCTCTTTTTTCCGTCTATTCCCAAATTTCTGACCCATACTGCATCGTTGACCAAACTAACCTATCAAACATTCATGCTTTCCTTCCCTAATTCTTTCTGAATGTCCTTTTCTCATCCCCCAAACTTGCCTCAGTATCACCACTCCTATCCTTGTCTTATCCTTTAAGTGCTCCTCCTGTCTTCTATTCTTTTGAATATTATGTTCCGCATGTTTAATCGGTCTGGTTTCTGCCAAATTCTTCCACTTCTATCTCCAATCCACTTCCTTAACTTTTCCCTATTTTCTTTTAAACCCATATATATGTCGGAGAGGGAAAGACAGCGGGATTTCCCGTTCGGAATGTTGGAAAAAACCCTAATACACTAGTCCAGACTTTTACTATAGCCGCCCTTAAGTAATAAAAATAAGAAATAGTCTTAATGTTCCAATCTGACTTTATGACGATGCGTTTGGCAGTGACATAGCAGGTCACCGGACGGTCACGGGAGGGACATGTACCTGGCAGAGGTATGAAATGATTATATGGCTCTCCTTAAAACAAAGATTAACCTGAGAAGCGGGGACAGGGGTATATAAGGGCAACCTCTTTTGGATTAAGGGAGTTAGAGTTAGAGTTAGAGTTAGTTAGTTGGTTAGTGAGTCGTTGGACGAATTGCCGATTGAGTTATCGGGAAGTTGCCCGAATCGAGTAGCACGTTGATACTAGTCCTCCCGTGGACAGTGGATTCGTTATCAAATCTGAATTCGTTGTCACCATCATCTCGACCATCCTATTACCATTACTCGTAGCCTCTGGTAGTGTCCACATTCATACTGATAAAGATTGGCTACATTCGCGACGGTAAAGTAAATAAAGGTTCATCGAACGCTCCAAAATGCCAACCTGACTCCGACATATATATAATAATGCGTGTTTTTTCTTTTTCTAGTGTGATTTTTCCCCGACCTATCCCCACTCACATAAATATTTACCGCATCTTAAACAAATTTTCGTAATTTTGTAACCTTTACAATTTTTTACTTAACAAGCTTTTTGTAGCGATGAATCTGAACTTGTTGATAGTTTTATTGCATGGTTTTTCCCCACGATCCTTTATATTAAAGTAATGTATGCATCATGTTTATAACAATTTTGTGAATTCTCTGTAAATTTTTACATACCATTTTGTAGATACCATTGCAAATTTATTGGTTCGTAAACGTTGGCTTCTTTCGCTCTTCTTATCAAATCGTATAAATCTCATAACTTCAGCAAAGTCATTCCTGCTCATTGCTTTTGAAAAAAATGCAGGTCCCCAAATTTTATTCCACATATATAAGACATCTAAATTTTTTGCCTCACCGCGGGCATATAGCAGAGCAATAAATGCATCTAGTTTGGTTGCATCTAGCTCCCTCTTAGTCCCCAATACTCTAAATGCTTCTTCTTCCGTACATTTTATTATATGATCCCTTATACGGTGATCAATGATAAGATAAAATGCCGTCTTTACTTGTCCTTTTATTGTATGCCGTTTAGCATATCCCTAAAAATATTATGAACTGATGTCCTGCCAGGTTTGAGACTTGCATCTATCTCTTTTCAAACTGTTCCATCGGTCCCAGTCTCACCCTCTGCTGTCAACGGTAATTTCTTTCCTTTTTACCTTTACGTAAATGCTTATTTATAATATTCAATTCTGATTCGGTTGTAAATAGCTTTTCATGTGTTTCCATGTCATTTTCAGTTGCTGAAGTTTCTTGTTCATCGCACACTGAACTGTCTTCTTCTATGTCCGTTATTTTTTTTTTATAATTGCGTTATTTTTTTTATAATTTTATTTTGAGAGGTCTTGACATTTTTAGGGTAAATATTTATCCCAGAATAACACAATGTACGGAATACAAAATTATTGTCCATATACTGACGCGATCGCGAGCGAGTCAGTATATACCGAGTGACACGAATTAGCGATCAACATCTACTAATCGGGTTTTCCGTGAGCGAACATATACTATCGTTGCGAATACAGTCAACGAGCGTCTTTTGTACTTTTATTTATTTATTTGTTTAACTTATTCCAAATATATTTGACGGGTTACAACAGCAATCTCTTGCTCTCGTTATTTTAGTATTTGTTACGCCACGAGGCTTACTATAGGTCGTACTTCTAACCGTCGCTCGCGGTCATTACAGTGTAGCAGACAGATCGTCTCATCTGCTCGACGGAAAATATACAATGTATCGACGAGCGTGTGACATCAATCACATCTCAATCTACATCAGTGATAAGACATGGACCGCCGACCTTCGGACACTTTTGGACACATCACCACCTTATCATCATAGCATACACCAAGGCTGTGACGCACCTTAGTCCACATCAGAGATAGGATATGGACCCCCGACCTTCGGACACTTTTCCACATCATAACCTACATCTAGTCCCTCAATATCTTAAAACCAAAACGTATATAAACCGAGACTTCACCCAGCTCGGGCAGTTCTTGTTCCTCTTCTAGTTGCTGTACTCATACAACCCCTATTCTCCGGTTCGGCGTTATTTTGTAAGTGTTAACATTTATAATAAAGTTTTATAAAGGAAAATAAGTAGTTGGGTTACGACTCAGCCTTCAGACTACCACCCAAGTACCAACTTTACGTGACAAGCGCATAGTTGTCACCAAGCAGCGAGTTGTAGAAACGTCGATTTCGGTCCGTTACTTCATACACATAAAGAAGATGGCATACGTGATCATAGGCGCAAACGGTGGCGTGATCCGAACGTAGTGGGGGTCATCTTCCAGAGAAGACAACGAAAAGAATCGAAGGGCAATGAATCCCTTCTGAAGAATCAAACGTTATATATCGAGAGGTCTGATGATTAAAATTAAAGTCGCTTAGTCTAACGAATTCATCGAGAGATATCGTAAAGTCGGGTCAAATTAAATGAGCTCTTTTTCTCCTAGCTTTTTTGCTGCAAACGAAGCATTACGATCTAGCACTTTTACGAAACCAAACGTTCCCCCGCCCCCCTTATCACCACGTTGAAAATGTTGCTTCTTCTTTTCTTCCATCCACTCGCGTTCAATTCCGAAAATAACTTTCGAAATGAATTATAATCGAGCCATTGATTTTGCACCAACTTTTTTTTTTGTAAATGAAATCCATGCGGCCGATTACGTTCAATGCCACCTTTTTCCAGTACTTCACTGTTTTTCGTTCATCGAGATAGATATACAGCATTTTATCAGATTCGCCGACACTACTCATAAAGATATTGTAAGAATGAAAAATAAATGGTTTTATCGAACGCATTTCTCATTCTTTCTACCGTCTTTTTGTTATTTAGCATCGAGGTCCAGATTTTTTTGTATACTCAGGGAAATCACGTTGTACATAAATTTCTTCGGCAATTCATGTTAATGTTAAAACGTATGTTGCGCGTCGAATTTGAAAAACATCACTATCACTATCTGAAGTATCCAAAATGCATTAATTTATTTCAATTTTTGTATAAACAATCGATAATCAGATGAGGAATGATAAAAAGGCGGGTACCAAGAGACAGTTAAACAGAAAAAAGATACGAAAGAATAAAGACCATTTGAACAGAGAAAATTATAATTCCTTGCTTCTATGTGTTAACCAAAGTTGCGTTTTACGAAGCAATTTGTTACGCCGGGCGACCCTCTGCCTGGCCCAGGTCACACACCGCGGGCCAGACGGACACCAGATGTCCGCTCTTCCGTACGGCATACCCTCACTAGTCTCAAGTATCTTCCATAAATCTCAGGAATTTCCTAGTAGAGGTCCTTCAAACCAAACAAACGTCTGTTTCCGAAGAATTTCTAAAGTCTATTGTCTACCACGGCTTGACAAGGGAAAGTTAGTTTTTCTCACGTATGCTACAACTTTCCTCCCACTAACCACTTTCTCTCGAGGGCGGTGAAGACCCTTCGTTTAACCAATTTAACGAAGCCTATTCCCTCACTCGCCTAACTAAAATCGTCACCAACAAATCCGACGGTCCCGTGC